TTTGAACAAAAATAAAATATTAATATTTATTTTATATAATTTTGACTGAGACGTAACGATGTATAAGAACCAAATCACGTAATTTCAATCTTACATTTTATCGTGTCAGTTTACTACCATTATTTTTATTTACACAGTGATCACAATAAATTGTTTACTTAGTTAACACCCTATAAAAAGAAGCTAAAGATTACAATAAAGTAATATGCATACACATACAAATAAATGCATATTTGTAAAAATACAATTTATTGTGTAATATTTTTTACGAGTTAGAAATCAAATTATCTATTAAATAATAATACCTAAATTATTTTTTAATTTTAATTATATCAAGTTTACTTATTTGTTTATTCAAATTAATAAATTTAAATAATAAAATAAATATTATTGTCATATTCATCGCATATATACATAAAAATTATTCCAACTCTAATAATTAACCAAAAATCAATTTAACTTAGATTGAAAAAAAAAAACAAACAAACAATAATGGAAGGTATTTTTAAAAGGTTTTCCGTTCTCTTCTTTTTCTTTTTTTTTCTTTTTTTTTTTTTTTTAACAAAAGTTAATCCTTTTGACCAATAATGGGGTCAATTGGAAAATTGAAAGTTAATGATAAAAAATGGAAAGCTTTTCAAACGAAATGAATTGAAACCGTTTGAGTTATTGCTGAACGTTTTTAAGGTATTTCTTCTGCTGATAGAAAATAAAAAAAATAAAAATGAACACAAAAAGAGATTGCAGAGAGAAAGAAGAGAGAAGAAAAAGGATTTATCTCAAAGGGGGAGTTTCGTTTCTGACAATAAAAGAGAGAAAGGGATTCTGCTTTTGCTCGAAACGAACCATACGAATCACCTTCTACGACGACGGTCGATAGCTCGAGCAACAACTTCAAACCAGGTTGACTGGCTCTTTAACGTAAAGGTGCGTTTACAACTTTCATAATGTTAAAAAAGTTTACAAAATAAAACAACGAAAAATTAATTCAATGCACACGAATATATATTTCTTGTTATACGTATCAAATATTATATTAAATTAATCTGATTTTTTTATTTTTTTTTTACTTTTTTTTTCATAAAAATAAACGTGACTTTAATTATAAATATTGATTATAAATTTGATTATAAATCAATCTTATTTTCAATTTCAAAACGTGTCATAAATCACGTATTTTTTTTTATTTCAAATACAAATATATATATTTAACTTCGTTTATTAATATTTTATTTAATATATGTAGTTTATAAATATATTTTATATATTTATTTTTTATTTTATAATAGTTTTTTTCATATTATTATTATTTAGGTAAATATATAGGTAAATATAAATATTAGATTATATATATATATTATTATTATTATTAAGATAAATATATATTGTATATTATATTATTATTATTATTTAGGTAAATATATATTATATATTATATATTAGGTAAAAAAATGTTTTTATATATATTATTTATATTATATAATATTAATATTAAATAATATTACATAATATTATAAAATATATATAATATATTACTATATACTTTACTATATTTTATTATATATATATATATATATATTTATATTCAAATTCTAATTCTAATATAAAAAAAAAATAAAAAGAAGAAATTGCACTTATATTATTATTACAATAATGGGCTCGGTTTTCAGCGTGAAATTAACTTTCTCTATATCTCGATAATAAAAAAAAAAAAAGAAAAAAAAATATATATCAAATAAAAAGAAAATTAATATCTCAGAATATTAAGCGAGATATGTTGGCATCTTCATCTCGAAGTAATTGAGAAAAAGAAAAAAAGGAAAAAAAAGAAAGAAAGGAAAACAAAAACAATTGAAGAGAAAGAAAGAAAGAAAAAAATGATAAAAGAGAAAGGAGAAAAAGAGAAGAAACTTAACAGACACCCAGCAGCAATAAGCAGCAGCAGCATGACCTCGGACAACCCCTTGCCGTTCACCTGACCGATGTGATAAATCAACGTGCAATATGGAAAGTCTCGATAGAACCTTAAAGAGGGAATCTTATAAGAGATGAGAACGTTCCTATGAAATCTTTCTCTAACTCTTTTAAACAGACAACCGTGTTACATGGGAAATCGAATCTAATGGTAGTAAGTAACCTAACGGTATTATTAACTGACACACATATACATAGACATGTATACATATATATATGTATACTAGTAAGATGATTGATGTGTAATTCAATGATTACTTTGAGAACTATCTTATGTCAATTTATGTTAAAACATTTTAAACGGTCCATTTAACATTGCAATTAAGAAAATATTAATACAAGTATTAAATATATTTGTAAAAAGTATTTGACTTAAATGAAACGTTTAATAAACAATGTAGAAAATAAATGAATTTTATTTTAAATTTTAACATTTATTTATGCAATGTTATGTTATACTTTAAGACAAATCAAACGTGATGTGATTTTTTAATTTATTAAGTTTAAATCTGTCAATTAGATTTTTTTTATGGGATCACAAGTGTAACATGTAAATTAATCAGTAATATATAATATTATATATTATATTTATATATTAATATTATATTAATATATAATTAAAAAATAATATATTGTATTATTATAATTAATATATAATTATAATAATATAATATAATTTTATATATATATATAATATTAATATATAGAAATATTAAATATTAATATTATATTAATATATAATTAAAAAATAATATATTATATTATTATAATTAATATATAATTATAATAATATAATATTTATATAATTATTATAATATTTATAAATTATTATAATTAATATATAATTATAATAATATAATATAATTTTATATATATATTAAATATTATATATATAATATTAATATATAGAAATATTAAATATTAATATTACAAAAAATAATATTAAAATTAATTGTAATAATAAAATAAAACAACTTTCACAGCATATGATTGGAACAAATGTTAATTTCGAAATTTAGTGATTAAAAAAAAAGCAGAAAAATTCGCATATAAAAGCTGGTGTTATTGGGGGTGGTGGGTGGGTGTTGAGGAAGATTGGTGGGTGATGAGGAAGATTGGTTCAATCCGATGACCTTTTAATTTTCTCGAGTTGATTCGAAATCGATTGCATGATTATCCTCTTGTATTATTATCGTAAGAAAGAATCTATGGTCTGTTGCAATAACATTTTTAGTTGTAACACCAAGTGAATAATAATGAAGGTTTCAAATTTCATACCACGAGATTTTTGAATGATAGCAAAAGGTGAAATTGAATGGGTGTATATTAATGATCGATATTTACATGAAAAGTTCGATACGCGTTCTCCCTTTCGATAAACGCGTTCCACAACGTGTTTTACTTACACAATTCTCTGACCCACTCTCTTTTTCTTTCTCATATTTCTGACACAAATGATCAATTTTTCTTCCCACTTCACCTGTTTTTCCCTACACGTTGAAAATTTAGGTCCTGCATTTATCGATCCACCCTCTCGTGTCCTACTATCCTCATTGATTTTTACACTCTTGTAGATATAAAATAAAAAAAGGAAAGGTAAATAGTCCGATCACATGATCAGGGATTAAATAGTCGCTGGATATTAGGCTTACATTTTTCATTACATAGTTCTAATAAATTTTTATTAACAATTGTTTCATTTATCTCGATCACTGTTCGTTAATAATTTTAAAATCGATTGCAAAAAGTGTTAGTTCGATTTTTGATTTTTTTTACATTTTATATTTTTACGCTTCTTCCTATTTTTATATTTTATTTTTTTTTTTTTTAATGTTCATATTTAATTGATAATTTTATTCTGTCAATTTTTTTTAAATATGTAACACTTTAAATATATGGTAACTTTCTTTTTTCTTTATTAGACAATTTATTTCTTCTTTTACGTTTTAATCAAACATTTATTTTTGTATTATTATTTAACTGAACGGAACAGTTATTGTACTGAGAATGTATTCTGTTTAAATGATCGCAAGCAAATAAGAATAATAAACATTAGAATAAGAAATGTCACCTTCTGTTGCTTCGAAACGTAATTAACGAATCCTTACAAATCGAAAATCGAAAGGAAAATAGAAACCAATTCTTTTTAACAAACCTTTTGGTTTATAAAACAATTATTCTATGTAGAAAAATAAACTCAATTTTTATACTACATATATATATATATATATATATAGTTTACTCGGTTTTATTTTAATAATAATAGTTCTCTGCGATAAAACTTGTCAAAAATGAGAAATAATGTTGTAGAAAAATTTGCAACAAATCTGATACATTTTTAATTACAAACTAACATAATTTATTATAAAATAATAAAGATGAATGTATTATTTTACACCGAGTTACAATTTATAACAAATTAGAACAAATATTTTACAAACGATTTAGGAATGAACAATTATCGAACAAGATATTAACTATACAACAATTATAGAATATAATATATATTAATACTAAAATATATATTATATTATTAACATATATTTTAATATATAATAATATATAATAATATATAATATATTATATATAATTATAATATATATATATATATATATATAATAATATAATTATTATAGAACAATTATAACTGTTACACTAAAATCGAAAATAACAGACAACCCTTAAACTGTTTAACACGTTTCTTCAACAAAAATAAATAAACTAAATATAATTTTACAAAACTTTCATATAAAATAACTAAATAAAAAAAAAATGAAGAAAGATCGTTTGATTCCCATTAAACAACAAAAAAAAAATGACTCATCTCATACGAACACGAAGAGAAAAAAAAAAGACCGGTTGACCTTCAGGGTAAGAACGTTTACAGAGAAGATAAATGTAAAGAAGAATAAGAAAAGTACAAAATCCAGGTTGAAAAATGAATGATAAAATGTTTGAAGAAAAAATAAAAAACATATAATAACAATATTAATAACAATGAATGATTATTATAATAAAATAAATACCTTAACGTATAGCTGTCTTAAAGTCATGGCGATTGATTTAATTTCAGATAAATTTAGGATTCCTTTTATAATTGTCTGATTCGTTCTGTTAACAGTTTGGTTGTTATGTTTGTCGTTTTTCTATGATTCGAGGTGTTTCGTCTTCTTCTTCTTCTTCTTCTTGGTCTTGGGTTTAGGTTTAGGAATGGTCGCGCGTGCTCTACGTGAACCGCCGACCTTCTCGTCCCGGATACATACCACCGACCTTCTTCTCTCTTCTGATCACGGCATCCTTTTTTCTTATCTGTTTATTTATTTTCCTGTTATGTTCCTTTTTTTTCCTTTTTTATTTTATTTTTTTTTACTTGTCCGTATGTCCGTCAGTCAAGTCAGTCAAGTCAAGTCAAGTCAAGTAAAGTAAAGTAAAGTCAAATTAAATAAATTGGTTTCTGTTTTTTTATTTGTTTCTTCGATTCGTCCACAACAGGATTCCCCTCTTCTCGATCGAAAGAAAATGAGAGATACCTTTCAACGATACGAATCTTTCGTTACACCTGATATACATGTATGTATATATATCACCTTCTAATTAATTTGTTTGTTTCTTTCCTTTTGTCTTCGCAACGTAGATTGTGACGAGAACTGTCACCTTTGATGTAACAAAATGTAACAAAAAAATATATACCAGCCCACTAACTCATCTTTCTTATCATCCACCCATTTACATACATATAATATACACACACACCAACACACACGCACTCATCACGCACCACTGTAATTAGGTGCAAAGTAGAAAAAAAAGAGCTTAGGAAAGAGAAAGAGGGAAGAAAAAGAATTTTTCACTGACAACGTTGAAAAAAGCACCTTCCCGCAAAACCTTCCAGAACGGCACTGCCAACCAGCTGGTTCGTTATCGGGTTTAGATTGGCCGCCTCTCTTTCTCTCTCTCTCTCTCTTCCTCTCTCTCACTCCCTCTCTCTCTTTCTCTCTTTCTTTCTCTCTTTCTTTCTCTCTTTCTTTCTCTCTTTCTCTCTTTCTGTCACCTCCTGCCAAGTTTCCCACAAGCCGCACTATCTTTTTCCCTCTCTCTTTTTCTCTGCTTCTATCACCCTTTACTTTCACCCCCTCAACCCCCTTAAACCCCCTGTCAATCTCAACAACGCTATCACCACGTACACAGCGGCCTTCGTTTGCGTCGATCGACGCGCATACTTCCATCTTCGTCTTTTGCATTAAACTCATCGATACACCGACATGTTCTCTCTTCCTTTAAAGATCGAAGTCACGTTACGTTTAGTGTCATCTTACATTTCAGATATATACTCTTGTGGGATATATATTGTGGGGTTGTAGATATCTAGATTATCTTTAAGATAGCGATGATATCTCGTTTCGATTGCAGATTTGTGGGAAATCGATATATACTTGTGGGATAGTAGAAATCTATATTATCTTTAGAAAGGTATGAAGTTACCTTTCAATATTAGGCATGTGTGAAATTGATTTTGTGGGATAGTAGAAATCTGTATTGTCCTTAGAAAGGTACGAAGTTACATTCCAATTGCAGAATTGTATGTGAAATTGATTTTATGAAACAGTAGAAATCTGTATTATCTTTAGAAAGGTAAGAAGTTACCTATCAATTGCTGCCTTGTTTAAAATCGACATATTGTGAGATAGTAGATACATGCATTAAAAAATAAAATATGCATTATAACAAAAATAATTCTATCCTGAAATAAAATAAAATAAATATTACATTAAAAGATTTCTTGTTTGTTCGGTGTTATGCCTGTAACAATATAAAAGTTATTAAAAAACATTATAAGGTGATTAGTTTCTGAAGATGAAATGGATAGAAGGAACTAAGAAAAGGGATAAAAATATGTTAATTGAAAAACTAAAAGAAACCAATTATTATTATAATATTAATGATAAGCGGTCTTTGGCTAGATTTTACTTGCAATGGAATGTAAAACATATCAAAATATGTTAAACATTACATGGAAAGTAAAATACCATTGCCCGGGTCTAACCACGAGGAGGTAACCGCTTCTGAAGACCCAAGAGGGATGTGCATCCTAAAGATGCTCACATCCGAATATAATTCAAAGGAATGAATCTAACTCTTAGG